TAAAACCGGTTAGTGTTATAACTATATATATATAAGGCCTTATATCTATATATATATAAACTATATGTACATAGTATATATAATATATATAAGCTATATATTATATAAGGCAATATATAATTATATATACATATTATACATACTATATATACTATATATATTTATATAGCTATATATAAGCAATTTATATTAGTATATACATATATAGTTTACACGAAATTGCCATAGATAAAAAAAATTAAAAAAAAATAGCCCGGAACGAAAAAGCCCGTTTAGGCCCGCAGGCCCGATCCATTTAGCACGGGACCATGTGGGCTTAGGACCGCAGTGGGCAGGTTCCACTCATTTGGCCCGTTAGGCCCGGGACCGTTTGGCCCGGGACCGCCTCAGCCCGGCCCGTCTAAGCCCAGGCCCGTTTGACCCGTTTAGGCCCGGGCCCGGACACAATACAGCTTTACACCTAAATTTGTTTGTATTTATTAAGAGAGTGGGAGAAATAGAGGAAAAAGGAAAAAGAAAATGTACCCCAGCAGTAATTATGGAAAGCTAGCAATGCGCGTTAGACAATACAGGCCAAAGACTCTAAAGTCTAATACTAACCGTAGTGGCAAAGAATCTGACGAAGCTTTCTTATTTTTCTCTTGACAACGTGAAAAATAAAATTAAGTAATTAACCAAGAGTAATTTTGGTTTAACCAGTTAATGTTCTACACAATTAGGTTGATTACAACTTAGTATAAGTAATTGGAGTTAATAAACATGTGAATTAACAATTTGCAAAAGATGATAAGTACCAATTTAATCAAATTATCAAGATTATTTTTAAAAAGGCGTCTTCTCAATTATTGCTCAAACGTAGAAACAATCGTCTTAACTAATAGCTTGTTTGGGTGGTTGTTATATGTATCATTTCATAATGTATTGCATAGTATTGTACTGTATCATTTTAATTTATATAATGTTTGGATAGATTGAATTGTTTGCCATCGTTCTATGATGTCACACACCAACAATATGAAGAATAAACTTGCAATATTATAAAGAAAAGTAAGGTACGAGGTAGAATTATTATATAAAAGGTTGGGTAAAGGATAAATTAGATTATTTAATAATAAAGAAGGGTAAAATGAGAGAAAAAGAGAGTAAGTTAACGACGTGACCACACCAAATCGATCGTTCCATAAAAAGACACTTTTTATCATTACGTAACATCAGATTTAATGATACAATACAATAAAATTTAAGTAATAATCAAAACAAATATTATATTAAAAGTAGGAATTTTTACACCCTATAGAAAACCTCAGTACCCTATTTATCAATAATAAATACCATTTTAAAATATTACATCCTATAAATACCTTTTATCCTTTATAGCAAAAAATCTAAATATAGTTACATCCTACAATTAAGGCACCATATATGCTAAATATTATTTTTCTCTCCCCCTTTTTGTATTTTCTCTCACATAATTACCGCGTATCTGCAAACCCAATACAATCTCTCTCTGTTTGCATACAACCAGACTCTCTTCTCCCACAAACCCTAGTTTCTTAACTCTTCTCCCACCCAAATTCTCAATTTTCTGCTCCGCGTCACCAACGTTATCATCAGCCATTGTCTGAGCCGGAATATGAGCAACCACACTCGCGTACTTCACAGATTGCATCCACGGTGGAGAAACCTCCTGGGCCGTTGGAGGCAATTAGGAGGTCCGACGGCCCAATTGGAGGAGTGTTCATGTATCAATGGAACAAAACGGGTATAAAAGAGTAAATTTGGATGAAATGTGTTGATGAAACACAGGGATCAAAAGATTATATGAAAATGTTTATGAGTTTTGGAGAGATTGGCGGGTGGGTTACAAGATCCAGAAAAGCTAGAAGTGGGGAAGAGAGAAGATGAAGAAGAAGCAGAGAGAGAAGAGAGCAAAGTTTACTAGGAGCCGTTGCGGGTAGCAGCGGCTGCGATTTCTTGCACCAGAACTTCCAGGGCTGGGGTTTTGTAGATGTGTTAGGGGCTGACCAGCCGGAATTAATGGCTGGCCGCCGGCCGGCGAAGCCATAGGGCTGTTTCTCTCTCTAGATCGCCCAAATCGCCTATTTGTATTCAGTTGTATTCGAATGTATTCTTCAGCTGTATTCACTTGTATTCAGGTTTAATCAGTTGTATTTAACTATTTTATTCAACAGTAGTTAGTTGTATTCAAGTGTTTTATACAACTGTATTCAGTTGTATTCAGTTATATTCAACTATTTTATTCAACAGAAGTTAGTTGTATTTTGTTGCATTCAAGAGTTTATTCAGCTGTATTCAGTTGTATTTTTGTTGTATTCAAGTGTTTTATTCAGATGAATTAAGGTGTATTTTGTTGTATTCAACTGTATTATTCATATGTATTTCTCTTTATTCAGCTATAATCTTTATTATGTATCTTTCAAATACAGATTAATGAGGGATCGTTTTAGTTCGTTGACTTAAATTAGGAGAATATCATGTGATTTTATTTCCTTCCGTTTTTAGCGTAGATACGTTACTGTATTTAATGTTAATGTCGCTTGAATATAGCTAAATACATGTCAAACTTAGCTGGAATTCCAGATTTTACGCCTATATTTTTGGCTGTATTTAATGTTAATGTCGCTTGAATACAGCTAAATACATGTCAAACTTAGCTGGAATTCCAGATTTTACGCCTATATTTTTGGTTGTATTAATGAATACAACAGCTTAAATACATGAAATACATTGTATAAAAATATAAAAGGTATCTATAACACGTAATATAACAAATGATATCTATAAATGGTTAATTAGACCAAAAAGATGGTGCTTTATGAAAAATTCTCTTAAAAGTAACAGTACGATACAAATACAACAAGTAATAACCATCCCAACAAGCTGTAAAGTGTGAGTAGCTTGATTCACTGATTTTCTAATTGATGAAACGACACTAATTGAATTATGTAACCGTATGTAATTTCAGATTCTTTAAAGCAATAGAACATGAGTGGCAGAGGTGAGATAGTAACGGGGATATTTATCGGGGGATTTCTGGTTATCAACGAACACCGCCCCGTGATGGGGTTTGCTACCTTTTGGAGGAATCTCCTACTTGTCGGTCCCCCAAGATTTTTCGCGCTAACTGTCCATTATGGTTCTTTTGGACTCAAATTACGTAAATAGGTGTAAAAAAAAGAAGTTACCAAAGTATATATAACGCCAGAAAACCTGGCGTGATACATTAACGGTAACTGCACCGTTAATGTATAGCGCCAGATTTTCTGGCGTTATATAAAGAAAATCTGATACACTGATATAGCGACCATAAAAGTGCGCTATACCTTTAAGGAGTGAAACAATTGCTTCATCTAATGCTAGTTGGCAAACAGATCCAGATTATGTGCTCACTGGATGAGATCAAGATCCATCACGAAATAGTTGAACGTTATATGTTTTTTTTTAATGTATATTATGGAAGAATATAATCTAAGTTAATAATGTAAGAATTTTACATTTTTTTGTAAAAGGTTATGTGTTATCTTCTTTTTTGAAGTCATAACCATGTTATATAGATGACTGTGTATAGTTGAATTATCTAAAAAATTATGCCAAAGGTTTTTAGAATCTGTGTATAAACATTGCATGCTAATGAAAAGTATAACATTAGTATATGCTAACATTGCATGTTTATGAAAATGAATGAGTTGGTGCAACACTATTCATCACTCTATATTAGGTTTATTAATATTTTATTCAATCTTTTTATTTGTGTAATTTTAATTTATCATATATTGGGTATATAATTAATTTTTATATTAAGATCTTTATAATTTTAATTTTATATCCTATTTTTTGATATATTAATTTTTGTATATAGTATATTTATATATGTATATATAATGCCAGAAAACCTGGCGCTATACATTAACGGTGCAGTTACCCGACATGAAACATGACTTATACTCACAAGTACTAAAAACTATCACAAATACCCAACGGTACCATCATTAATAACATTCATTATCATTATTACAAACCATAGTCCTGAACATAAATAAATTTAGTACAAAATTATTATTTTTATAATAAACTACTTAAGACACTATCAGATGACCGAGAAGACGAAACAACATTATTACAAAATAATAAATGGTAATACAAAAGCTCGATTATAATAAACTACTTAAGACACTCCCATAAATGCTCGATTAATGCATTACGAAGTGCGAAATGCGCAATTTTATCTTTAATTTTTTTGTGTCGAACTAAGAATTGTTCAAATCGGTGATCCTTAATTTTATGTACTTTAATTATAATGTATTTTTATTTTATGTATTGTTAATTTTCTTTTTTAAATTTTAGTTTTCACTTTTCAATTTTAGCAACATTAGATATCTTACATTTATATTTTTTTATTTTTAAATAATGGTTATATTTTTTTTTATACAATAATAATAATAATAACTTATAATTTTATATAAATATAATATATACAAAAATTAATATATCAAAAAATAGGATATAAAATTAAAATTATAAAGATCTTAATATAAAAGTTAATTATATATCCAATATATGATAAAAAAACATAATCTGGATCTTGTTTGCCAAACTAGCAATTAGATGGAAGCAATTGTTTCACTCCTTAAAGGGTATAACGCCACTTTTTATGGCGCTATATCAGTGTGTCAGATTTTTTTTATATAACGCCAGAAAATCTGGCACTATACATTAACGGTGCAATTACCGTTAATGTATAGCGCCAGGTTTTCTGGCGTTATACATACTTTGGTAACTTTTTTTTTTACACTTATTTATATAGTTTGAGTCCAAAAGAACCACATTTTGGTTCCGGACTCCATAGTAGGAGTAGTAGTATTTATTTAGTCCAAATAAAAAACGTAACTCTCCCAAGCTCAAACGCTGTCGTTTTGTGTACTGCCGACCTCCTAGGTACTTGTGTTTTCATCATCAGATCCTATACCACTAGTATTCTTTTGAGTGTCAAATACTACTATTAATAAAATCTCCTCTTGCTTCTTCCTGGACCCTTTCACTTTTTTCCTTTTTTAGATTTTCTAATCTTCTTTTTGTCTCTTACATTATTATCTCATTCTCTGCATGATTGTTGATCTTACAGCAGGCGCCAGTACCCAAATGGGGTCACTGCAAACAACAAGAAATCTTTCATGTTTATGTGTATCAGTTAGAGGAGGTGTACAGGGTTTGAGTACTGTAGTAAGGCAAGTGGGGTTCAATTCTTGGTTATTGCAGGGGCGAATTAGAAGCAGAAAGATCCAATCTTTATGTGTTAGAAGTTCCTTTAATAATGCTGGTGGTAGTAGTTCTTCAGAGGAGAAGGGTCTTCTTTTGGGTGCTGAGAGGGATGACTCTGGTTCTGTTGTTGGTTTTCAACTGATTCCCCATTCTGGTACTGCCCCTTTGTTTTCTTGAATTTAAAGTTACCCTTCAGTAATTTCTTTTATGTGTTTCTGTTAATTTTATGGGGATTTGGTTTTCAAGTTGATCAAACTAGTAAAAATCACATATTCAAGATAGCATAATTCATAGTTCTCCATTTAATTATACAATGCCAATTTCCTTAACGACCTCAACTTCTACCTTAAAAAGAGGGAGGAATAGTCGAGTGGGCGCAAGCTGACCCAGACTCCACCGTCATCAACAAAAGAAAAAAAGAAGGGAAAATGGTGCATGTAAGGTGAGAAGATTTGCTAAATGTATGGAGTTCCACTTTGTAGTTTGGACAAATGCTCATTACTGCTGATGGCTAAAGTGATTGATATGATGAAGTGAACAAAGGCGGGGACATTTACCTTGATACTGTATGAGCTCCATTGAAGTGTTCGGGGACAATTAGAATTCAACAATTTGGTTATGATTAATGTTATTGTTTAGACTTGTGGATCAGCATCTTTTTATAGTAGTTCAATTTTTAGAGTGTAAGCCTGATATAATCTGAGAGTTAGTTGAGTTGGTCTTTCAATATGACAGAAAGGATGCTTTGCTATTTTGATATTTGGGGTGATATTAAGCCTGAAGTTCTGGAACTTTACTTCATTGGCTAGCTAAGTTGTCATCCATAAGTACTCTCACTGATGTTTGTTACGGTTAAAAAGAACATGTGTATACTTATGGGCTAGTTCTATTGGGGGGGTCAAAGACTTTATCATCTTGCTGCTACAAAAGGTTACAGTTAGTGGGAATATGAGGGGTGTCTGGTCAATATAAGTTGGTGTTTAGACTGGAGTGTGATTGAGGATAATGGGGTCATGAGCTTGACCAAACTAATGACATTGCCTTTGTATGTCTGTGTATCTCTTGGTAGTTTTCCTCTTGTTTCCACCATATGAAGCTGAAGATAGTGTCTTTTTTTAATATTTTTCTTTTGAATATATAAAAAGATTTAAATGAAGTAACTTGGGGAGTTATAACTCATTTACGGCGTTGATTCAGGCTCTTAACTAATTGCTTTCACACCTGATGTATTTCTGTCTCAGAATATGTAATGATAGTTTTATTGTCTACTTCTCCATTTTTCTAGTTTTACCTTCAAAGAAAATGAAATGGTGTACTCAATTCAGTCACAGGTGATGCAACAATTGTTGAATCTCATGATATTGTAGCTGATGATAGAGATGACTTGAGTGAGGATGCTGAACAGAAGGAGAAAACCCCAACCAAATTAACATTCAATATCATTTTTGTTACTGCTGAAGCAGCTCCGTATTCTAAGACAGGTGGTTTAGGAGATGTTTGTGGTTCTTTGCCTGTAGCACTAGCTTCTCGGGGTCATCGTGTAATGGTCGTCTCGCCTAGGTATCTGAATGGAGGTCCTTCAGATGAAAAATATGCTAATACTGTTGACCTTGATGTGCGGGCTACGATCCATTGCTTTGGTGGTCCCCAGGAAGTAGCCTACTACCATGAATACAGGGCAGGTGTTGACTGGGTAAGAGCGTTTTGTGTACTTCCTTTTTCTTTTGGGTTTTTTTTTTGGGGTGGGGGGTGGGTGGGGGTGGGGGTGGGGGGAGTATATTGTACTTGTTGGTGCTTACTCTTCAGCTTTATCTTTGTTCATCTCTCCCTCCCTCTAATGATTAACTGGCTTGCTTCAAGCAAAGGACTGTCTGACTAAAGGATGATGGTTAATAGGATGTCTGCCTGGGTCATTAATTTATATAGTTGATTGTGTCTGTATTTTTATTTACCAGAAACGTTTCTTATTAAGTACATATTTATGATTTTAATGTTAAAGACGTACACTGCTCTTTCTATCAGGTATTTGTGGACCACCCTTCTTATCGCAGACCTGGAACGCCATATGGTGATATATATGGTGCATTTGGTGATAATCAGGTAATATGTTACTCGTTTTTCATGCATGATGATCACATCTCCATATGGTTTAATGCGATGGCTAGTGATAATACTTCCCTATCTTTTTGGTAAGCAGTTTCGCTTCACTTTGCTTTGTCACGCAGCATGTGAAGCACCATTGATTCTTCCACTGGGAGGGTTCACTTATGGAGAGAAGTGCTTGTTTCTTGCTAATGATTGGCACGCTGCCCTGGTTCCTTTGTATGTTAACAAAATATTCTGACTTATTTCTATTTTTTGATGTCACCTATTTTGATCTTTAACTGAACACTACTTTTGCTTGTGACATTTTTAGCATCCTTACAATGGCACTACTTAAGACCTATGTTGCTCGGATTCTCCAAAAATGATGCCGGATACGTGTCGGATCCTCCAAAAGTAGTGCATTTTTGGAGGATCCGACACGGGTACGACAACATTTTGGAAAGTCCGCGCAACATAGCTTAAGAAGGTTCCTTACAAAGGCGTAATCTGTAGATGTATTGCTATACATAAAAAAGAAAACTGTAGGCACAATAATGTTTCTGTGTCGGTATTGCAACTGTTACTAACAATTTGATGCTGTTGCAATTTTATCTAATAATAATGCCATCTTAGCTTCCATCAAGAAGTTCTTTAGCCTTTTGATAAGCTATAAGGTAATGTATTAGTATGTAATACTTTTCTGAAAAATAAAAAAACAAGAAAAAGAAAAAGAAGAATATAGACTAGTAGTCCTCTGTTCCTTGAAGTGCTGTCATGTTTAGACATTCATATCGTGGTTAACTGATCACTGTCAGTGACTGCCATCTGATTGTCATGCTTATTTCTGAATGTCCAGACTTGAGTGAGGGGTTATTGTATGGTCCTCTAGTGCATGTCTGGATATTTGTACACACTATCATGTAACTCTGTCATGCTATATCAATAGTAGCCTTGGTAACACTTCCCTCCATTCACCTGCAGCACCTTAACGTGCTGCGGAATATCTTAATTCTGGTTATATGTGCTATTGACCAGTTTATGACAGAATCCTTCTCCTGATTTCCAAGTGTTCTATGGTGCAGACTTTTAGCAGCCAAGTATCGTCCTTATGGTGTTTACAAGGATGCTCGTAGTATTGTCGTAATACACAACATAGCACATCAGGTACTTTCCTAGTTTACTTCTCCCTATTTCTGTAACAAGGAGGTATAGCTGCCTGCAAGTTTTGCATCTGTTTGAATGTCTCCTGTTTTGATGGCTCCGAATTACAGGCTTATATTTTCTGGTCAGACTGTAACATCCTCATGGTTTTCTTTTAATTCTTAGTCATCGGAATGTTTGTTCTTGGTTTGAATTTGATGTCTTTAATCACTCAACTCATGTTCACTTCCTGAATCTGTGAGTCTACTAGAAAATGGGATAAGCTCAAACTGTTGATTCTCGGTTCAGAAAGATGTGATTTGGTTTAAGATTCACAATTCCTTGGGACTGGTTAGGTCAGTTTGTTATTTTGGACTTATTCTGATTGGTTTAGACAAATTTAGTGGGTGATCGCGAGGTGGATTCTACAGTCCAAATGTCTGATTTCATTGTTTGTTGGTACTAGGATAGTTCATCATCTACCTTGTATTTGGTCTATCTCGACGATATGCTGTGACCTGTGGTTCATAATTATTTATTGATTGCTTGATGGAATATTCTTGTACAACTAAGTTATGCAGTGGCTTGTATTGAATTAATCTGCACCTTGAGGTTATTAGTGTTTTATTTTATACCGTCATACATTGTCTTTTGTTTGATATTTTCGTAGGGAGTGGAGCCTGCAGCAACCTACCATAATTTGGGATTGCCTCCAGAATGGTACGGAGCACTTGAATGGATATTTCCCACGTGGGCAAGGGCGCATGCGCTTGACACTGGTGAAACAGTCAATGTTTTGAAAGGGGCAGTCGCAATTGCTGATCGGATACTGACAGTTAGCCAGGTCTATACAAAAATTTCCACTTACATATACTAATAAAATATCACTGATTATGGTTCATGAATTTCTTGTTGTGAGAAATCTACATGACTTCATGATAAATTGTTGAACATTGTTATTGAGTATATAAAATTGCATTTTGCCTATCTTTTTTTCTTTGTAGTTACCTTTTTTTTGGGGTGGCAGGGGTACTCATGGGAAATAACAACTCCTGAAGGGGGATATGGACTACATGAGCTGTTGAGCAGTAGAAAGTCAGTTCTTAATGGTACGCCTGTTAGTGATTTCTTATGAGTTCTTTCTAATATGCTTTTCTGCTTCTTATTCTAATCCTAGTTTGGTAAGATATATGTTGATTGAAGAGGCATCTTTACGAGCATTAGCTTCATTTTAATCAAGTCCTTATTTTTGTTAAAAGTCAAGACCAAAGCTAAGGCTAATAGCCTGTTTGGCCAAGCTTATACCCAAGCCAAAAGTGCGTTTTTCCTCAATTTGATGTGTTTGACCAAGCTTTTTTTTTTTTTTTTTGGGAAAAAAGTGCTTTTGGCTAGAAGCAGAAGCTTCCTTTTAAGAAGCAAGAAAAAGTAGCTTCTCCCCAGGAGCAGAAGCAGTTTTGACTTTCTTCCTACCAAAAATACCCTTAGCAAAATATTATATATACCAGTATAACCTTACTTACTTTAAACTATTAAGTAATATATAATGACTTTTTAGATGAGCTTTCATATTTATTAAATAATTTTTTTGCTATATTTTTGAATTATCTTGAAGAATAAAGTACTTAATTTTATTTTTACATTTTACTTAAATAAAATAAGAAACTTAATTATTATCTTTGATAATAAATATTTATGATTATTTATCTACTAATATAACATTAACTATTAAGCAAATATCTTCATGTCCTTATTCGTAATTTGACACTTAAAAAGCACCTTTTGAAAGCGTGGCCAAACACAAATTTTTGTTCAAAAGTGCTTTTCAAATTGATTAGCCAAACACAAATTGCTTTTCTCCAAAAGTACTTTTTTGAAAAGCACTTCTCAAAATAAGCTGATTTTTCCAGCTTGGCCAAACAGGCCAAAAGTGTAGTAATGACCTTAGCTGTGGATTCCATGGTCTCTGAACTTTAGAATTACTAGTTAATCTATCCGTACTTTTATGCAGGAATTACTAATGGAATAGATGTTAGTGATTGGAACCCATCGACAGATGAGCATACTGCTTCACATTACTCCATCAATGACCTCTCTGGAAAGGTAATTAAGCTTCTTAGTTTCACAATTTTACTACTTCAGTGATAAGTTTTGCCTTGAAAAAAGGACTACGTCTACAAAACCTTTTTAACTGCTATGAAATTCGATCCAAATGAGGGTTCCTGAGGGTTGTCCATAAACATCAAAAAGGGAACAAACCAATTGACATCATAGTACATTAGTACTTTCTTACTTTTCATGTTTATTCTATATGCAGCACAAGCACTCTCTCTCTCTCTCTCTCTCTCTCTCTCTCTCTCTCTCTCTCTCTCTCTCTCTCTCTCTCTCTCTCTCTCTCTCTCTCTCTCTCTCTCTCTCTCTCTCTCTCTACTCTCTCTCTCTCTCTCTCTCTCTCTCTCTCCTCCTCCTCCCCTACCCCCCTCCCCTCCTCTCTCTCTCTCTCTCTCTCTATATATATAATATATATATATATATATATATATCTTCCTTGTGATAACACTGCACAAACTGTCTCTGCTAACTTCGTTCTGTTATTCAGGTCAAATGCAAGACTGCTCTGCAAAAGGAGTTGGGCCTTCCAATTCGACCTGATTGTCCGCTGGTGAGAGTTTTGTTGCTTCTTTGAATTAGGAAGAAATTTTCTTCATTCTCTAACCAGAAAATTTGAAACTTTGATAATGCAGATTGGATTTATTGGAAGGCTGGACTACCAGAAAGGTGTTGACATAATCCTGTCGGCAATTCCAGAACTTATGCAGGATGATGTCCAATTTGTAGGATTTTCTACCACATTCTTTTTATCATTATTAATGCAGCCTTTTTGAATCTAATTAATAAACTTTAGGAAGATCCTAGAGTTTCCAATTGTTCATTAACTGTATTCAGTTTAGGGCTTGGGCTGATTCAATTTTCTTTGCTTGAGATTGTTTATGACATTTATGTTTTCCCTTCTTGTTTTACTATGCACCTTGGATCTACAATTCTCTTCCTTCATGCCCTCTTACTCAGTAATGTGTTGATAATACTGAATTTTATACGTGGGAGGTGTTCATATTGAAATTCTGTTACGGCACAATTATATAGTTTATAGAGAGAATTCCTAAAAGGGAACTGAAAAGTTGAGCCTCAACTAGGTAAGAAGAAGTTGTGAAATGGGTAGGGTACTGGAATTCAAAGTTCAGGTTACCCTTTTAGGAATTATCCCTTAATTTTTTTCATCATTACATGAAAAATTTGTTCATTTGATGTTGCAAATTATAAAATTATATTCAGGATTTGTTCTGGAGCATTTGTTTAGTCATCCTGTTTTTCTAGTATAAGTTTCTGCAAAACGTTTTTTTGGGGTTGAATTTATTATCTATTCCTTGTCCAGGTAATGCTTGGCTCTGGTGAGAAACAATATGAAGACTGGATGAGACATACAGAAGATCTTTTCAAAGACAAATTCCGCGGTTGGGTTGGATTTAATGTTCCTGTTTCTCATAGGATAACAGCAGGGTAAGTCTAAATTTCATATGGTGGATTTAAATGCTTAAGTTAATAGTAATCAGTATGCTAACTTATTTATACTGTGTTGTGCAGCTGCGACATACTATTGATGCCCTCAAGATTCGAACCTTGTGGTTTAAACCAATTGTATGCAATGAGATATGGCACCATACCTGTCGTTCATAGCACTGGGGGCCTAAGGGTGAGTTGATTTCCATATATAGAAATGGCTTTTCAAATGAAAAAAGCTCATGCGTTATACTTTCTCTTCCTTATCTTTAGGACACGGTGAAGGATTTTAATCCATATGCTCAAGAAGGAGAAGGTGAAGGTACCGGGTATGTGTCTTTCCTAGAAATGCTGTTGATATGTATGACGTACTGTGATGTTGTTGCTCATTAAGAAACTGGAAATAAATTACGCTGGTACTACCGCATAAAGCAGCTCCAAGGAATTGTGCTTGTGGAGAGAATCACCTTATTTTAACTACCATCTCTTGCTTCTTCATTTTTAGGACAGAATAGAATTTCACCCTTGAATGGAAATTTAGGGAGATTAAGATATGTTAAACTAGATTGCTTTGTACTTGTGCGCGGCCTGCAAATCCTTGTACCAAAATTTTCCTTTGAATTCAAGTGGGTTTTGTGATGTCCACATAAGGAGGTCAATGCTCATTGCTTAAGAGTTAGAAACATATATGGCACCCAAGGATGTGGCCTAGTGGTCAATGAAGTGGTGAGAACCATAAGGTCTCAGGTTCAAATCCCAGAGGAGGGAAAAACAGATTTTTTCACATCTATCCAAGCCTTGGTGGATAGAGTTACTTGATACCTGTTGCTGGTGGGAGGTGGCAGGTATCCTGTGGAATTAGTCGAGGTGCGCGCGCAAGTTGGTCCGGACACCACGGTTATTAAAAAAAAAGAGTTAGAAACATATATGTACTGTAGTCAATGATCTGGCTCTGATCCTTCTTGGAGCTTGGTTCTTTTTATTTTTAGATATCCATCTACCAACAAAATTCAAGAATATTTTCCACTCTTATTGCTGAATTATTATGCACTTGTGCTAACTTTCGGTTCGTAGTATCTAACTATTTATGAAATTTAACAGGTGGACATTTTCTCCTCTAACGAAAGAAAAGTTGCTTGATGTAAGTTTCTCCATGATAGATAATTTCTTCTGTTTTTTCGTAGACCATACTGTAATTTTACTGTTATTTTCGTTGCTTGCAGACACTGAAGGTGGCGATTAGGACTTACGTTGAACATAAGTCATCTTGGGAGGGGTTGATGAAGAGAGGAATGGAAAGGGACTATTCCTGGGAAAATGCGGCCATTCAATACGAGCAAGTATTTGAATGGGCATTTATAGATCCTCCATATGTCAGATGATTTATTAAGAAAGAATATATTATTGAACAGAAGGGAAAAAGATACCAGAATACACTGAGCTTTTGGTGATATTAGCTGCGGGCTTATGTTAGTGTGTAATGTTCACTTATCATTTTTTATTTTTGCTGAGAAACTAAGTTAGTTCTAAAGACATATAGATGATCTGTGGGGGAGAGAAAATGACAGAAACCAAGAACTGCCACTTTGGGAGAATAGTGGAAACATGTACAAAGAATTTAAGGTCTATTATGATTATATCCTCTTTTGCGTGTGAGGAGAGGCCAATTGATTAATATTGGTTCTCATTTTCTTTAATATCTCATGGAGTATCGTTATTGTTGTTATTACTTTGGCACAAAGGTATCCTGAGTTGGTGGCTTAGGTAAGCATGGTTTTGTTCACGGTTGATACGAGATACTCCTATATATTGTATTCAAATTGAACATGATTAGCTTGAAAAGAGTGAATGTAACTATCGAAAATGGTTTTAATCAAAGAAAGTGAGAAAAAGTGCAGCTTGGCGCAATCCTACCTTGCATTTCCTCAAATCAAAGGATCGGTCGGATATGAGCCAGTCGAAAATGGATAATGCAAAACAAATAAAATATTCGATCATTTCATATTTAATACGAATAGAAAATAGGTTTATCGGTAGATAATATAAACACCTATAAGTATTATCCATGGCTTTTTTAATGCGATCACTTTTGTGAGAATTTTTAGTCTAACAAATTTGAGAAACTCCCACTTTGAATCTTTGAAAATATAAAAGTTAAACTCATTGGTTATGCATCTTTTAAGGGGGCATTTGCATCTATACCCGTTTTTTGTGTCACATTTTAACTTGTGCCCGCTTTGCAAAAAAAATTGCAAGCGTACCCGCTTTTTTCACATAACTTCAGCCCACGGGGCTGAAGTTTTTCTTTTGTACTGGACTGAAGTTTTTGTCTTTGTAACCGGAAAACTTCAGCTCTACAGCTGAAGTTTGCCAGTTATAAAATAAAAACTTAAACTCTAGAGCTTAAGTTTTCCAGTTATAAATTAAAAACTTAAGCTCTAGAGCTTAAGTTTTCCAGTTATAAAATAAAAACTTAAGCAGTTTTCCAGCTTAAGTTTTCCAGTTATAAAATAAAAACTTAAGCTCTAGAGCTTAAGTTTTCCAGTAATAAAATAAAAACTTAAGCAGTTTTCCAGCTTAAGTTTTCCAGTTATAAAATAAAAACTTAAGCTCTAGAGCTTAAGTTTTCCAGTAATAAAATAAAAACTTAAGCTCTAGAGCTGAAGTTTTTCTTTTGTTACTGGAAAACTTACAGCTCTTCTTTGTTAACCGGAAACTTACAGCTCTACAGCTGAAGTTTGCCAGTTATAAAATAAAAACTTACA